CCATAATGCCTAGGCATAATAGAGACTCTCTTTGCATTGCAACCCACTATTGTAAATACAAAATCTCAATGTACTATTTGCTAAGACATAAAAATAAATAAATAAATAAATAAATAAAGATGAGGTGAATCATAAAATTTGAGGGAAAAAGGGTATGTGGTGCACTTAGGATATGTGGAGACAAAGAATGGGAATGTATTAGAGTATAGTTATACCAATGCTCTTATATGGGTGTGAAACCTGGTTGGTGAGTGTTGCAACAAGGAGAAGGATGGAGGCAGTGGAGATGTCATGTCCGTGAGCAATATGTGGTGTGAACATAAAGCAGAGAATTCGTAATTTGGAAATCAGGAGGAGGTATGGGAATACCAAAAGTATTATCCAGAGGGCTGAGGAGGGGTTGTTGAGGTGGTTCAGACATTTGGAGAGAATGGAACAAAACAGAATGCCTTGGAGAGTATATAAATCTATGGTGGAAGGAAGGCGGGGTAGAGGTCGGCCTAGGAAAGGTTGGAGGAAGGGAGAAAAGGAGGTTTTGTGTGCAAGGGGCTTAGACTTCCAGCAAGTATGCGTGAGCGTGTTAGATAGGAGTGAATGGAGATAAATGCATTTTAGGACTTGACGTGCTGTTGGAGTGTGAGCAAAGTAACATTTATGAAGGGATTCAGGGAAACTGGTAGGCCGGACTTGAGTCCTGGAGATGGGAAGTACAGTGTCTGCACTCTGAAGGAGGGGTGTAGTGCAAGCATGCCTCTGGCAACAGTGATGATGAAAGTTTTTCTCTTTCAGGCCACCCTGCCTTGGTGGGAGGCCAGTGTGTTAATAAAATAGAAAAAAAATTCATATCACCTTTTATGTCATGAAATCTTTTCGTAATATAGTTTTTTTGACCTCCTTATTAGATTAGTTAGTATTGATGAGTAATATTTTGGTAGATCCTTTATTAGACACATTCTATAATGTTCTTCATATACAGTGGACCCTCGACCAACGATATTAATCCGTTCCAGAGAGCTTATCGTTAGTCGAATTTATCATTAGTCAAATTAATTTTCCCCATAAGAAATAATGGAAATCCAATTAATCCATTCCAGACACCCAAAAGTATGAAAAAAAAAAAAAATTCACATGAAATATACATTTTCCTACACAGAAAAAGAAGGATACATGCACAATAAATATTGTACTGTACTAAATGAAGAATAAATGACACTTACCTTTATTGAAGATGTAGTGATGAATGATGAGAGGAGAGAAGGGGAGATGGAGGTGTATTAATTTGGGAACAACTTGAGAGTCACTGGACCTCTGTCACACCAAAAATCTGTCCATTGAGCTCTTCCAGAACAGGCCTGTTTCGTCACAATTGAACACTTGTTGGGGTTGGAATTTTTCAGCTTTGCCATGGCTCATCACACTACGATTCTTACATTTCTCAAACCAACCTTGACTGGCCTTAAATTCACCAATATGAGCACTATTTCCAGGCATTTTTTCCTGTTCACCTGGGTTTTAGTTGACTGGTGTGGGTCGCATCCTGGGGGGCAAGATTAAGGGCCTCAATGGAAATAAGTTAGACAGTCCTCGATGACGCACTGACTTTCTTGGGTTATCCTGGGTGGCTAACCCTCTGGGGGTTAATTGTTTCTCAGTAACTGTTTCTTGTTAAGCCACAATAACAACACTCTCTCCACATCTTCGAGTAGTACAGCTGACGGTGGTGCAGCAGCAGTTGACTGTGGTACAGCAGCAGCTGACCGTGGTACAGCAGCAGTAGCAGCTGACCGTGGTACAACAGCTTCAGCAGCTGACCATGGTACAGCAGCAGCAGCTGACTGTGGTACAGCAGCAGCTGACTGTGGTACAGCAGCAGCTGACTGTGGTACGATAGTATTTTGATAGTATTTCTCACCCATTTTACTACAGGGTTAGCACTAGAAGCTTTCTTTGGGCCCATGGTGGCTTATTTAGCAGTTCTTCTTTCTTTCAACACACCGGCTGTATCCCACCGAGGAGGGGTGGCCCAAAAGGAAAAACGAAAGTTTCTCCTTTTACATTTAGTAATATACAGTATACAGGAGAAGAGGTTACTAGCCCCTTGCTCCCGGCATTTTAGTCGCCTCTTACAACACACATGGCTTACAGAGGAAGAATTCTGTTCCACTTCCCCATGGAGATAAGAGGAAATAAACAAGAATAAGAACTAGAAAGAAAATAGAAGAAAACCCAGAGGGGTGTGTATATATATGTTTGTACATGTATGTGTAGTGTGACCTAAGTGTAAGTAGAAGTAGCAAGACGTACCTGAAATCTTGCACGTTCATGAGACAGAAAAAAGGACACCAGCAATCCTACCATCATGTAAAACAATTACAGGCTTTCGTTTTACAATCACTTGGCAGGACAGTAGTACCTCCCTGGGCGGTTGCTGTCTACCAACCTACTACCTAGGTTATTTAGCAGTTACAAGCACTAAAAACAATGGAATAATACAAAATGCATCAAATGTATGTGTGGAACCATCTGCCATGGCTTGTAAACAATGGCACACTAGCTGATGGCAGGGCAGCCAAGGTGCTCAGGCTGGACGGACAGGTTTGGGACAAATCATGTTGGTCAAGTTTCTCATCATTGGTCGGACCAAAATTTTTATACTCAAACGCTTCGTTAGTCGAATTTATCATTAGACGATGCCTTCGTTGGTCAGGGGTCCACTGTAGATGTTTTTTATCGATGGATTTAAGGATGCTGTTTGTAAGCCAAAGGCTGTTTAGTCTCTTTGCTGTGATCTACTGTACTTAGTTTTTATTGGGAAATGCATGTTATAGAGGTTTTGGGTTTTTTGTAAAAACAAAATATTAACACATTCATCAATATCGAGGTTGACTACTAGCTCATTCTGACAGTCGATGTTATTTAATGTTGAAATAAAGTTATTAACCGATGACTTATGTAGTTGGAAGGTGATCCTACTTGTGTCCTGGGACAATCTACGTAAAATGGTTATGAGAAAGGTGGGAGAGTGGTCAGTGGTGTTATCTGTGATTATACTTGCTTATAATGGGGATATAGTGTTTGTCCAGATATGGTCCAGTAGAGAGGCATTTGCTTCTTGTAGGTTTTGTTATAGTTGACAGAAGCAAGCAGCTGCTCAGTGTTTGTGAATTCAGTCACTTATAGGTTGTGGTCATAGATGAGGTTTATGTTGAAGTACCCTGTATCAGGTAGTGTTTATTCATCTCTGTGTCAGTTATCATGTTTCTTAGGTTTTCACTAAATGAGTAAATACTGGAGTGAGGCACTCTGTAGATTGCTCCAACTGTTAAAGTTTTTTTAAGGTTTTTGGACTTAAATTTAGCAAATGTATATGCACCATATTCATCGCTGGTGCAAGTAGATAACTCCAGAGTCTCAATACCTGCCTGATAACTCCGGAGCCTCTCTACCTACCTGATAATTTCAGAGCTTCTCTATCTACCTAATAACTCCAAAGACTTTCTACCTACCTGATAACTCCATAGCCTATCTACCTACCTGATTACTCCAAAGCCTCTTTACCTATATGATAACTCCCGAGCCTCTCTGACTACCTGATAAATCCAAGGCATATACAGAAACAAAGTCATACAAGGAAAATTGTGTATAATAATGCTTCAACAAGACAGCAACTGTGAAAGCTAGAAGTAGGGTAGGCAGTTTTAACAGAGGACTAGTTAATAGGTTGACTGTGATCTCTAACATGACAGAAAAGAACATTACTGGTGTTGGCAAACCTAAAGCTTCTTTTGTGTTCGTTGAGCCTCTCAGAGAGTGATCAATTTCTCCAAACTATTGGTGAGGACACGAGGAACATGAAATATAGATACTAGGGGCATCTATAGCGGGAGGAAAGGCATGAACTAGATTATTGCCATATACGGAAGTCTCATGGCTGTAGATGTAATGCTCAATGCATGAGATGAGTATTCTTGTTCCTCATGGATCTGAGGTAGGTCAGAGGATTGTGGTCACTGAAGAGGGTGACCAAATGTGATGTGCTGGACATGAACACACTCTCTACAGGAGTAGAGAGTTTTGGACAGAAGAAAGTCTGTTTAGCACATGAGAAGGCAAACATTATGAAATGGGAAGTGTAGCCAAGACGAGAGAACGAATTACGAAGAGTGGAAATTTCCAAGTCAAGGAACTGAGGGTCACAAATGCGGAGGACACTGAGAAAGTGAGAAATAAGAACACTTCTTGACAGAGAGAGCATGGTAAGTAATGAATGTACATGCCACTGTGCCTAGGCTTGTGATAAACGGAAAAAGCAAAACCTGTATCCTAGCAGTGGACATATACATCAAGAAAAGAAAGCAAAGAGTGAAGATTCCCATTCAGCTTTAAACTTAATGGAAGGAGCAAGACTGTTAAGATCATCAAGAAATAGTTGGAAAAGACTAGAGTCATGAGGCCAAAAAGCGAAGATGTCATCTATATAGCGAAGCCAGAGGGAAAGTCATACCATTAGTACGAGGAAGAACAGTTTCCAAGTATTTCATATAAAGGTTAGCAAGAACAGGAGATAGACAGTCCATAGTGACACCAAAGCTTTGAGAATAAAATTTACCTTGAAAGGAAAAGGAGTTAAGAGTCCACACAAAGACGAATAAGATCAAGAAAGACATTAATAAGTACAGGGAGATGAAGTGACCCTTCACTGACCTTCACTCTGAGATAATTAAGATCATCATCAAGAAGGACAGTAGTGAAGAGGGACTCAACATCTTAAAAGGTCAGGAGAGAGCGAACACATTTGATGAAGTCTTGAGAGTGATGAACTTGAGCAGGAGAAAAAGTACCAAGAAAAGGAGTGAGAGTTTTGGCCAGCGAAGAGGCAAGAGAATAAAAGACAGAACCTCTGCAGGTTATGTGTGAATTGTTCCAGTCATGCTATTGTGCTTTCTTGTTCTTTATATATTTATTTATTTACTTCTACAGGAAAAAAATAAACAACATACATCATTATCACGTCGTTGCCATTCTTCGTCTAATCTTGAATTGACTTGACCATTCGCCTTGACAACGGATGCTTCTTTATCTACAACTTCCACGACCTTATTTGCTTTTTTCTTGTTTTTCGTTTTGCTGATTCCAAACGCCATAGCTTGTAACTGAGGAGAGAAAGTGCACGTTAGTTTATGTTGGTAAAATCTATTAAAAAAACACCTAGGGGAATTAAAGAAAAGAAAAAAATACCATGATTAAAAGAGAACCCAATTTACACGGGGGAGACGGGAACTTGCAATGGTGTTTGAGAGTGACTTGAACCATTAACTACTGACAAGTTAATGGTCTATGTCAAACCCAAACGTCGTCATAAATTTGTCTCGTGTGTCTGTGTGTTATTGATACAAAGTTCCTCAACAGTGCTATAGTGTAACTACACTTGTAAAACATCCCACTCCAAAACTGTTCAAGAACTGCCTGCATGACAGTGTCTTCCATTGCAGACACTGCAAAGCTCCAGGCGGACATCAACCGAATCTTTCAGTGGGCTGCAGAAAACAATATGAAGTTCAACGATGAGAAATTTCAATTACTCAGATATGGTAAACACAAGGAAATTAAATCTTCATCAGAGTACAAAACAAATTCTGGCCACAAAATAGAGCGAAACACCAATGTCAAAGACCTGGGAGTGATCATGTCGGAGGATCTCACCTTCAAGGACCATAACATTGTATCAATCGCATCTGCTAGAAAAATGACAGGATGGATAATGAGAACCTTCAAAACTAGGGAAGCCAAGCCCATGATGACACTCTTCAGGTCACTTGTTCTATCTAGGCTGGAATATTGCTGCACACTAACAGCACCTTTCAAGGCAGGTGAAATTGCTGACCTAGAAAATGTACAGAGAACCTTCACGGCGCGCATAACGGAGATAAAACACCTCAATTACTGGGAGCGCTTGAGGTTCCTAAACCTGTATTCCCTGGAATGCAGGCGGGAGAGATACATGATTATATACACCTGGAAAATCCTAGAGGGACTAGTACCGAACTTGCACACGAAAATCACTCACTACGAAAGCAAAAGACTTAGCAGACGATGCAACATCCCCCCAATGAAAAGCAGGGGTGTCACTAGCACGTTAAGAGACCATACAATAAGTGTCAGGGGCCTGAGACTGTTCAACTGCCTCCCAGCATACATAAGGGGGATTACCAACAGACCCCTGGCAGTCTTCAAGCTGGCACTGGATAAGCACCTAAAGTCGGTTCCTGACCAGCCGGGCTGTGGCTCGTACGTTGGTTTGCGTGCAGCCAGCAGCAACAGCCTGGTTGATCAGGCTCTGATCCACCAGGAGGCCTGGTCACAGACCGGGCCGCGGGGGCGTTGACCCCCGGAACTCTCTCCAGGTAAACTCCAGGTAATAAAAAAATTAAAAACTGCCTTCAAAAAATTTAAAAACCATTTCCAGAAACAATTTAAAAACTACCTCTAGAAGCAATTTAACCCTTAACCCTTTCAGGGTCCATGCCATAGATCTACAGCTTTGAAGCCAGGGTCCAAGCCGTAGATCTACGCCAAAATTCTAGCGGCTTCAAATTTAGCGCGAGGAGCCTGGTAGGCCTATATCTAAGATAATGGGTCTGCATGGTCAGTGTGCACAGTAAATAAAATATCAGGGTGCCCGCATGGCACTGTGGGAACGCCATCTGAGTACATTAGTTTACCATGCCTCACGGCAATGAAGCTCTCACTCCCAGGCGAATTGGGACTCTCCTCTTCCCAAGTGAGAGTTCTAACACTGATGGAAGTGGATCTGAAGAGGAATTCTATGGTTTTGATCAAGTTGTGACCGACAGCAATGCTCAGGATATCAAAAATAGTGCCAAAAATCCTGACGACCCCCAACCTTTGACCTCTGGTGCTGATGCCTCTCAGTCACATTCAATTGTACCTCGTCGCAAAGAGAAAGCTAGTATTTTCACGTGGTCAGGCCTCGGATTTGAGTAATAATGATGATAGTGACAAGGACTTTGATTTTATTGCTCTTGATGATCATTCAAGTAGTGACAGTGAGGAATCATATTCACCAGTGAAGCATCAGTTTATATGACACAGCATGTGCTCAGGTAGTGTACCATATGCAATTCCAAGGCGACGGAGTACATCCCGGAGTATATTCCGTGGCCTTACACCTGGAATAGACAGTGAAAGTTATGATGATGTGGCTACAATTGGTATGGATAGACCACAGGTGTCAGTAGGTGGTGGTGGTATCATGGGCACGCAGCATGCGGCACCAGCCCAGCCTGAGACACAAGCTGCTGACTCAGCAGGTCCAGGACAAAAAGCATCTTTATCCACCCCCACACCACAACCTGCTCAACCACAACCACACCTACAACCACAACCAGCTTATGATGTCCACTACCCACCAGCAAACCGCATCTGGTACTGGCAGCAAAATCCCAATTTTGTTCCCAATCCCCATCAGTTTGATGACACTCAAAGTGGAATCCTTCCATCTTGTTCCCTTGGAAACACTGCAAATGAACTGGAATTCTTTGAGCTATTCTCTGACCAGCCCTTGATGGAAAATATTGTCAGGGAAAGAAACAAGTACTATTTTGATTACACCACGGCAAATACAATGATATCACCACAGTCAAGACTACACTGGCGGAAGGAGATAACTGTGGCTGAAATGTACATGTATTTGCTTTTTTGCAACAATAATTCCTATTCCTCATGTCTATAAGCATAATATAAAACCATACTGGTCCACAGATTGGCTAATTTCTACCCTGGCCTTCAGTGAAATCATCCCAGTGAACAAATTCATCTTACTGACAAAACCAGGCCTGACAGAAATGACAGGTTACACAAGCTTAGAAATGTTTTTATGTATCTGAAACAAAAGTTCATTGTATACTTTTATCCAATCAAAAATCTTGCAATTGACGAGTCTTTGATTTTGTTCAAAGGTAGACTGTCATTCAAGCAGTATATACCTACCAAGAAGAAATGCTTTGGTATAAAACTGTTTGTACTCTGTAACTGACATTGGCCTGGTATTGGACATAACTGTATACACAGGAAGTAAAACATTGAAAGATACCAGGATGTTATTGGGTATCTTAGGTGAAGTAGTGAGAACAATGATGGCACCATATCTTGGTAAGGGGCATACATTATAATGTATATTGATAACTGGTACACAAGCCCCTTACTCATTGATTTCTTGTGAGTGAACATGACAGACGTGTGTGGCACAGTGCGTTCTAATCGTAAACATATGCCCAGGTCCAACGCAGGCACTCGTAGTAGTGAGGTGCAGGTGTTTGCTGCCAATGACATCACGGCATTACGGTGGCATGACAAACGAGATGTCACATTTTTTATATCCATTCACCATAATGAAATGAAAGACATCGGCAAGGTGGATAGTGACGAATGGATGTATTCTAAAACCAGCAACAGTGACTGACTACACACAAAACATGCGTTTGGTCGACAAATGTGACATGCAGATTGGCATTGCCGATTGTGTTCGTAAGAGTTACAAGTGGTACATGAAACTTTTCTTCCATCTCATGGACATTTCAATGCTCAATGCATAAAATGTGTACAAAATGAAGACCGGCAACAGACCACCATATGGTGAATTTTGTTTATCTGTCATCAGACAAATAATAATCAAGTACCAGGTCACAACACCTGCTATACAGAACTTTCCACAAAATGATCACCGATTACCCAATTGTTTGAGGCAGGAAGGTGATCACTTCCTAATACAGCTTCCTTCAACTAAGAAGAAATGGGCTTAGAAGAGATGTGTTATCTGTGCACAAACAAAAAAGCGGTCACAAAAACGCAGACACTAGGTTTATGTGTGAGGAATGTAAGACACCACTGTACATGACACCTTGTTTCAAAGACTTCCACAGACTGCAGCAGTTCTAGGAACATGTCCAATGACTACATATGTAAATATATATTAGAACATTACTAATATACAACATTTTTGCATGTTTTTTGTTGTAAGCAAGTTTTGTAAGCAATATAATGATGAACAAATTAGTGTGTTGAATACAATGAGTGTACATATATACATGATATTGGTCTCACAGGCCACAAAAGTTACTGAAAAAAAAATTAGAAAAGAAAAAAAGAAACAAATACGTAAAATAAAAAAAAAATGCGACTCTACGAAAGTCACAGATGTTGTCGCCATCCGATCACTGAAGGTCAACTTCACGCCTCCATATCTTGGTAAGTACAGATCGGAATTTGTTTTTTGTTTTATTACCTATAAAAAAATACTATACAGTGGACCCCCGACATTCGATATTAATCCATTCCTGAGAGCTGATCAAATGTCGAAAATATCGAAAGTCGAATTAATTTTCCCCATAAGAAATAATGGAAATCAAACTAATCCATGCAAGACACCCAAAAGTACGAAAAAAAATTTTTACCACATGAAATATTAAGTTTGATGCAACAGAATAATTACAATAACAATAGATTAATAACAATAGAATAATTGAAACTTACCTTTAATGTAGATCTGGTGATGATTAATGGGATGGGAGGAGGGGAGAGTGTGGATGGTGTTAGTGTTTAGAAGGGGAATCCCCTTCCATTAGGACTTGAGGTAGCAAGTCCTTTTCCGGGGTTACTTCCCTTCTTCTTTTAATGTCACTAGGACCAGCTTGAGAGTCACTGGACCTCTGTCGCACAACAAATCTGTCCATAGAGCTCTGTACCTTCCGTTCCTTTACGATTTGTCTAAAATGGGCCACAACATTGTCATTGCAATAGTCACCAGCATGGCTTGCAATAGCTGTGTTAGGGTGATTTTCATACACAAAGGTTTGCAGTTCAACCCACTTTGCACACATTTCCTTAATTTTTGAAGTAGGCACAATGGAGTCCACAACTGGCATAGGCTTCTCAGGGTTAGCCCCAAACCCTTTAAAATCTTTCTTAATTTCCATACTAATTCTCACCCTTTTTACCACAGGGTTGGCACTAGAAGCTTTCTTGGGGCCCATGGTTACTTATTTTGCAGAAACAAGCACCAAAAACAGTGATAATATGGATAATATGGAATGTACCGAATGCATCCTTAGATGCGCGCACACTGGCTGGCGT